ACACACACACACACACACACACACACACACACACACACACACACACATGTCTAGTTAGAGGACAGTGGCTTTAAACACTGAGGGCCTTCCACTGCTGCCTGAGAGATATAAATGATGAGCAGGAAAACAGTAACGTGTGATAAATTCAGTTATAAATGGAATCTTCCCAGCACACATGGGTGAATGGCTGCAGGCATAAGCATAATCGTGTTGAGAGCAGGGAGAGTATTGAGGATGCTCAGTGAATTTAATCTGTGTTTTTTTTTTTGGAGGGGTGGGGGTGGTGGACGATTTGAAACGGTCTAATTTAGGATGCAGCTGAAAAGACAGACAGGACACAAGTATATTGGTTTGCTGTGTTTGTATTAATACATAATTTACAATCCAGGTTCAGCATACGTGGTGAGGGGGATGAAGACTGCTGAGGAAACTGATGATATGGGGAGCAACACACAGACAGATAAACAAAGTCAGACTGTATTTGAGAGAAATAAGGCTTTTCACAAGCTTTCAACAACTCAGTGGTGAAGCTTTATAGCTATTATGTATTTGGGAGAGACTCTGACCAAAGGGACTTCCCCGATGGTGGGAAATGTTTTTGGCCAGGCATTTAAAAGCTACTGGATTTTCCATCACTCCATGTCTCTGCATGCCGGCCATGTCTGTCCTCATCTGCTTGGCTTCTTGTGTCTTGTCTTCATCTTACTACTTTCATTCTCGCACTGATTGTTTGCAAATCATGTTTTTGTTTTTCAGCATGCTGAGGTACAAGTAGTTATACCAGAGTGTACAAATACTCTGTTACAAGTAAAAGTCCTGCATTCAAAAAAAGTACAGAAGTATTAGTATCAGCATATATTATGATAAAGTACTCATTATGCAGAATGACCAATTTCAGAATAATACAGTATATAATTTCAGATTACAGTTTTTGAAAAATGAAATATAATAATAATAATAATATACGGCATTTTTCTACGAAGCACCGGCGCCATCTAGCGTCTGACCGTACGCGTTACGTCAAACATTGAGGGGGACGCCCCTGGACGTCATCGCGTTGACCCTGACGTCACCACGTACACCCTGACGTTGTTGAACTCTGTTACCTTCCCAGACGACACTTCTGCACCGTTTGAGCTCACGTTTCAGCCAAATACTGTGGTATAACAAGGTATGCGCCGGAGAATGATGCTTCTAGTTTGTGTGTTTGCTTTGTCGCTAGTTATAAAAAAGCTTTAACTTCGAGCAGACACTCGTAAATGAGAGCTAACAGTAACATGAGCGAAGTTAACTTGCTAACCCCTGCACGCCAAACTCCCCTTAAAATATAACTATTTTAAATTTGCTCTGCAACCACCAAAGTGGTTAAGATTATTTATGTGTTTTGAAAGTGGAAAGCTGTTCTGGGCAGTTCGGCATATGAATGATGCATCTTGTAAAACGCTACCTGGTTAACTCTCACTAACTTAACTTTACTGTTTTTACATGCAGCTGTATAACAGCTGCCACTATGTGTCCATGTGGTGTATGCAAAGTGTAACATGTAAATGTATGGTGTTATAAAGCTGTGCAGAATAAGCGCTGTTAATCAACTAAACCAAACGTTTACACTGCAAAAGTTGGATAAAATACTGTAAACCACATTAAATCAGTTGGAACAGCAGCAGTGAAATATTCATTGTTGTAATGTCCAAAGACTGTTCTCATTCTGCGTTCTCTTCAGATCAGAGATGGCCGTCACACAAGTGTCCTCCAACAAGTGCTCTGGTGGCTTCCAGAAGGTGTTCGAACATGACAGGTGAGATCTGTGTGCTGACAGCTCAAAAGTCCCAAGTTTACACCCAGACCTTGCGACACACACACACAGACACAGACACACACACCTGTGAAGGCATGAATTGATGTGTGTTTTCCTCCATGCAGCACTGAGCTCAAGTGTAAGATGAAGTTCGCAGTCTATCTGCCTCCCAAGGCTGAGACCGACAAATGTCCCGTCATGTACTGGCTCTCTGGTGAGTGTGCTTCCCTACTCTTTTCGTCGTCACTTAGTGAAAACGTACGTCTTTATAAACACCTCACAAATATATAATTTCATGTTTAAAAAAAATCTCTGATCCACATTTGGTGCTCTAGTGAGTGTTTGTGGCAGGAGGACTGTGTATGTGGGCGTTGAGTCAAAGTAAACTAGTGTGTGTGTTCTGTCACCCAGTGTGACTCATTGATGTGTTTTTGGACAACACTGGAGCTCTAAAGCACTGAGGCAGAAGATAAATCAGGCTGTGATACTCACATCATACTTGTTAGTAAATACGTTCATTGTTCATTTATTGACAATAAGAGACTTTAGAAAATCATTAGTCTCTGTGTATTTTAGCTCTCTGTTGCCTCCTCATCATCATCAGTTCTGTTTCTCTGCAGGTCTGACGTGTACGGAGCAGAACTTCATCACCAAAGCCGGCAGTCAGGTCCCTGCTGCAGAGCACGGCATCATCATCGTCACACCGGACACCAGTCCACGTATGAAGACACTCACAGTGAAACAAACACACCTGCTCTCCAGGGGAGGACTTCACCTTAACACCAGTGCTGTTTATTTAGACGGCTTGATTCTGCTCACTGTCCTCTTTGTTGAATCAAACTATCCGTATTCATCCCACAGATGATGGAATACAGAACACTCAAAGTATTCAGACCCCCAAAATTTATTTTATGACAATACTGTTTTTAACAAAACGTTTTTAACATCTATAGTATATTTTTTATTCCACACATTCTTCTACCTTGTCAAAAGTGTTTTGCCTACATTACCAACAATGCAACTCGACTGCTGAAAGTTCAGTCAGTGATTGGCGTGTGTCGTGCTAGTAACGGCTAACGTTAGCCTGGAGCCTTTAGCCTGCAGGCTTTCTGCAACCTTCTTCATAGTATGTTGTAGCACCTCAGAGATTTAGATGGTTCCCTGTCAACACTTCGACACGTCACTGTTTCCCAACATGCACCAGGTGGCTGTAACATCGAGGGAGAGGACGAGAACTGGGATTTTGGCACCGGAGCTGGTTTCTACGTCAACGCCACGCAGGACCCCTGGAAGACCAACTACCGCATGTACGCCTACATCACCGAGGAGGTGCGTTGGATTTATGTCACCTGCTCGCCCGAAAAAAAAAAAAAGACTTTTCAATTTTACATTCAGCTAATTCATTTTCTTGATGCTCTCTCTCAGCTCCCCAAATTAATCAACGCTAACTTCCCCACCGACCCGGACAAGATGTCCATCAGCGGTCACTCCATGGGCGGCCACGGGGCGCTCATCTGTGCCCTGAAGAACCCTGGGAAATACAAGGTAATGCATATCATTCAGGAGGGTGTGTGTATGCAACCAGATTACTGACATTATTATCCATCATTCATCAAAAGCTTTATTTCCAGTAAATGTCAAAAACAAAACACAAAAAAATGTCTATTTTGTCTGAATTGTTCTGTGTGTAATGTATATTTAGAGAAATGCAAAAACCGCAGTGAAACTCCTTGTATGTGGACTCGTACTACGTTGTGATGCTGGTGTGTCCTCGTGTGTTTCCTGCAGGCTGTGTCTGCGTTCGCTCCCATCTGTAACCCGGTGCAGTGTCCCTGGGGACAGAAGGCCTTCTCGGGGTACTTGGGCTCCGACAGGTCCACGTGGGAGGTGAGAGCTCTGCAGACTGTGGTCTCGACGATAACTGTAATAATTATACACTGATCGTATCATGGGGAGGACTGTGCGATCAATGTCCTCCATTCAAAACTTTACTTCCGTAAAGAAACAGAAGAAACGTTTCACCAGAGAACTGTTCGTGAAAGTTTGAGTGTTTAAGGATCCCACGAGTTCTCCGGCTTCCTGTTCTCAGTCCTCCTCTTCCTCTGTTTCAGGCGTACGATGCGACCGCGCTGGCGTCGTCGTACTCCGGTCCTCAGCTCGATATCCTCATCGATCAGGGCCGGGACGACCAGTTCCTGTCGGCCAGCCAGCTGCTGCCCGACAACCTGATCGCCGTCTGCTCCGAGAAGAAAATCCCCGTCGTCTTCAGACTGCAGCCGGTCAGTTCCTTCAGGCTTTCATTCTGACACTTGTCTGCTCACTGAAAATTGCTCAAAAAAATTGATTGTTGCTCCGAAGGGTCTAAACATTATTTGAAGGGTGAATGTGCTTATAATCTGTTGATATTAAGTAAAACACAGTTTTACCTTTTAAGTGCAGTTATCAGTTATCTTAAACCTTCATCTAACAGAATAGGGCTGTGAATCTAGATTTGTTGAGAGGAAAACAATAATGCCACAGTTTTTTATTGCTGTGATTGTTCCTCCTCTCCATGCTGACTGTGAGCTGATCCTCTCCGAACATCGTTAATGTGTAAAGATCCAAAGTTTATTTTCTGTACATTTACTTGACGTCTTCACCGCTAAACTTAAACTCTCCTCTGCTCCGATGACTCTTCCTCGTCCTTTCACAACACATTACTCTCTTTCTCGCTCCACCAGAGGCACACACACACACACCACAGTAATGGTAGTAGCAGTTGCTCTTCTCCAAACGAGCTACGCTACTCTGTTTGTAAGAGACATCCACATAAAAGGTGGCAAACTTTCTAAAAGAGTCTTATTAGTCTCTCACTCCTTTTTTCTACATTGTGTCCTTGCTGCGCCACAAAAAGTGTGTTTCGTACTATAAAGACAGAAACTTGGGAAGTTATTCACTTGATTTGTCTCACTCCTGCAGGGCTACGACCACAGCTTCTTCTTCATCTACTCCTTCATGAACGATCACATCAAGCACCACGCCAAGTTCCTCAACGCCTGATCAGCACCGGAGAGGAGCGTTCAGGTCGGCTTCCTAGTCCAGGTCCCTTTGACCCGGCTGCTCCGCTATCCTGACATCGTCACCTGTTCGCTGGAAACCAAATTCTAAAATGGAGATGAGTCAGATGCCTCTGTAGTTTCTGTTTAAACAACACTTACCTAACGTCTCAAATAAGAACAAAAACTATTTTATTTGTTTTGGATAATTGACCCAGTGGAAATTAAAAAAAAGTTTCCTTTTCTCAGTTTGTCTTTTGTCATCGAACAGTCACATCTGTATTTTTAACAATAAAATCCCGAATTATACATTTTGGTGTTTTTGTTCTTATTGAAGTTTGTCGACCCGCAGAGTGAAAACCTCCAGATCATGTCCGCCATCAGAGCGAAGGGGTTTCTTTCATACTAATGCTGTCGGCTGGTAATGCAGCTCTCAGGTCAGTGGTAAACCTGACACGTCTTCTCGTGGAGACTGAGACTTTCCTGATGCTGTTCTGTCTTCAGACCATCACTTGACTGAAGCGTTGCACCTTCCCTTCAATAACGTTTCTCACACAGAGGAGTGCGAGTGGGCCCAGGAACATAAAAAATGATATTTATAGAAGTGTATGACTGTTGTATTTTCTGACTTCTTTACGACATACTATAGTGACTCGACTGCTTCGATGTGCTCTGCCTTCAGAGATGCTCTTATGCCGACCTCGGCTGTGATTAGCTATTTGAGTTGCTGTTGCCTTCCTATCAGCTCGTACTCGCCGTTCACCGTTTGTTTTCATTCAGAGCATCCTCCGTAAACCCGAGAGGTGGTTGTGCGCTTTATTACAGGGTTTTTATAGGGCTACGGTGCTGATGGAAATATTTGATTTACATAATTAAAGTCAAATCATTTTAGTTTTGACACCCACATATTTCCACTCAGTGATTGCATTATTTAGACAATTGAGGTCTTTACTGATAGTGATGAGAAATACAGTGCATTATATACAGTATTCACAGCAGTTAAGGCGACATTAAAGGGACAATTCATGCATTTAAATTTGAGTTGCTGTACAACAAATTACAGAAAAGGTTCACAAAGAGTTACAAAAGGGTATGTTACATCAAAGTCACATAAAAAATAAATTTCCTCCCAGTCAGAAAAGTACAAAAATGTGAGTACAGGCTGTTTTCTGGACAATATTTATATACAAAATAAGAGACATTAAAAACAACACTGCTTCAGCAGGTCTGATTCACCACATTTACACAATTTACACCAGCGTCACATTTTTTAATTCTCTCGTTTCAGATTAAAAGCGATTCAAGATTTTCTCAGTTGCCAAAACAAAGATATATAAATATAGAAGTTTAAAGTGCAGATTCTGTCTGGGAAGCAGCCGGTTTGGTTTTATTGCTTTTCCCCCCCAAACGACTGTGATGATGTGGCGAGTACAAAACCGTGGATATGAAATATGAAGAAATGTTCATTACTAACATGCAAATGGAAATAATTTGTATTTCCTAAAAGCATCCATATCCTTTGACATTATAATCCTGATCTCTTTTAGACGGTTTTCAGCACTTTGAAGTAAATCAAAATGATTTAAAATCATGTAAGAAATATTAGGAAGACTTTTACATGTTTTACCACGAGGCAAAACTAACTGTCATCAGATAATATCTGACATAATGTATATGAAACAATCTGTGTCATTACTTCACCAAGCTGACCATAGTGTAGAAATACGTCAACGTTTATGTATCGTTTAATCATATCTGTGATATTGTGGATTGATCAGATGTTAAAGTGTTTTCAGTTGAAATATACAGTACATGAGGAAATACATAACTAATCACTAATTGTTTCAATACATTAATTCAACAATAGGAACTCCTTGTGATAAATAATATGTACACAGGCTATCGTACATTTAAATAAAATCATTTACTTTTATCACAAGAGTAAATGTTTGTTTTGGCAACTGTTCAAATCGATCCAGTGGAAACATTTATTTTAATATTTTTTTCTTGCTGCTGAATCTTTATGCAGCTCGAGCTTTGGATAGCAAGCTGCATCATATGTACAGAAACAAAGACTCTTAATCACTCATTCATACAAGCCTGCTGGTTCAAGAGTGTCAAGACACTTACTGTGGTTTTATTCTGGCATTCAGGAGAAACACGACGTGATCCCAGACCTGCCCAGAGGTTGTGAAGGGGCAGTATGTAAATCCAGAGTCATCGTTATGACAGGGTTTATTTCTCAATATCACATACGCTCAACGGTCACAACCGTTCACAAGTTTGGAATGAGTATGATATTGATGTACTTCTTCTTTCCTTCAATAACAAAAAGAAGATAGAATCAGTATAATTTAGACACCAAATGTATTATTTACATTTGAAATGTGTAGTATTTTCAGTGTGGTATTAGTATTGGAGTAGTAGCACTTTGAGAAGTCAATAATCAAATTCCAACTAAATAATAATAGTAACATAAAAATAAAATACTAACTCCGCCGGTGATCATTATTATTAGAGCCTGCTCTTGTAATGTGCCAGTGGCTACGTCATCCGGAACGAGGAAATATGTAATATTAATCGTGTGTCAAAGATACCAAATAAAGCAGGAGACATGCAGGGTTGTTTTAAGCTCTAGAAATATATAAGATCAATATTTTAGGAAATATATTACAAGTTCCAGATTCTCTAGCTCCATTGGTGAATGTGCCTTAGTTCTGATAAGTTCTGATAAAATACTATTTATGAATTATGAATCAACAAGCCTTCATACTCAAATCAAAAGTCAGTCTGAAGATGAAGGTAAACGGGAGAAAATGTAGTCATTCTCACTTTTAAAGGGCGTTTACTTTCCCCTAGTGGTCAAAATCAATGAATGCAGATCAAAGAAAGACCAAACCAGCTTCAGAGGTTTCTGTATGAAACATCTTCAGCTGCTGCAGTTGTTCAGGAGAGAAGATAACAGTGAGTTGTGCCGTTTGTTCAACTATTACTTACTGCCCCCTCAAAAGCTCTTTGTGTCTAGTATGATCTGCAGAACCACAGGATTCATGCCGACTAGCAACTCATTTGTACACACAAACACACACACGCACAGAAATACTGTCGACGTAGCAGGCGGTGCAATGAAGCATCAAGAGTGTAGTAAACCCAAACCGACTGAGTCACAGAATCTCTGATCTCACGCAGCAGCTCCGGCCTGAAGCTCAGAGGTTTGGACGAACTCACACAGACGGTTAGAAAAAAACACAGCGTGAGGAACATTTCACTACGATATTAACTTTATATTTTGTAATTATTGCTTCGGGTTTTTTCTTTTAGACTCAAATTGTTTCAAAAAGAGTTTTTAAGATATCCTAACTAACGCAGACAGTTGGTTGATCCGACGCTGCACCGGCCGCATCCTGAAATATGAAAATCGAATACACGACTCTGATATTCATCAAGTGCCTCGCTGTATGGAAGCTGATCAATATTTACACATAAATCAAGATGATGTGGGGTTTCAGCCTGAAGATGCAGACACGAGGAGTGTTTTGTGACGTGAAGACGTTGTGTCTCTCATCACAAATAAACAACTGCTGAAGTAGTTTCACTAAAAGAAAATCCTTGAAATGCCGTCAGTGAACACAGATTAACAACACGTAGAAAAGAAAAGAGCAAATAAAAAATAAAAAATACCTGGACATGTGAGAATCCATCAGAGATGCTTGATAAACACAGATTTCGTGTCCCACAGTGGCACATTAACAGACTCAGACCTGGTTCAGGGACATGCAGAGAGCTCCACACAAAGTCAGCAAAACTTTTAGAAAACAGACAAAAATCATACCTAAAATATATTAGCGAAAAATATTTTTTGGCATATTTGTTTTTGAAAGTGTACAACAACTCAAACAATGTATCTCAGCTTCTCCTTATATTATAAATATCTTTATGTTTAAATACAAATTGTGGTTAAAAGTTGCCTCCTATGTTAAAACTATAACATTTTGGTTTTACTCACTCAGTCCAGTTAGACTTCACCTAAACCCTCAGTACAAAAGATCTTTGATCTGGAGACAACTGATGGTTTGCGTGACATCAACAGGTGAAGCTGGTGCTGCTGCGGCAGGCGGAGTGTTTCAGATTGGAAGCTCCACAAACTCTAAATCTAATTTCTAATTAAATAACTTTTTTTGCACCTAATTTTGTACAACAGAGTTTTAGGGCCACGGTTGTGAGGAAAACAAAATCTCAGATTTTTAAAAATGAAATCCCAATTTTTTATGAAAATAATATGAGAATAAAGTCATTGTTACAGAATAGCAAAAATCATACTTTTCAAGGGGGAAAGTCATAATTTTACAAGAATAAAGCCACATCTTGTAATATGAATATTATGACTTTGTTGAATAAAATTACAACTGAATCTCAAAATAGCTGAAATCTTCCTTTTCCCCCAAACACAGGTTATACTACTTCTTTATTCTCGAAATAAATGTTTTCTAATTAAATTAAAAAATCTCAATATTTAAAAAAATGTTTTATGTAGTAGAATTATGACTTCATCTTGTAATATTCTTACTTTTTTTCTTAAAAGCAATAAGTGAATTCAATGTGGCGCTAATACTTTGTAATATTTTTAGGTACAACCAGTGTATTTTTTTGAATCCTAGAGTTGTATTCATGCCCTTCAGTTGACACACCTCCCGCCTAACACTAACACAAAACCAAATATTTACGGTGAGAATCACCTGGAACCAGTGGAATGCTGGTGCATGTTGGCTCTTCCACCATCTGTGTGGCTTCAAACTGACTCCACCCAGACGTTCCCTCCCATGAATTAGCAGATAAATCTTTAGTTCCCTTAACACCATTTTGCATCCTTGCATCTAATAAAATCACCGTGTTACTGAGAGGGATGCAGAATGACCACAGAGGCACGTGCTGCAGCTTAAAGTGAGGTTTTGATCCAGGTGTGCGTTTGTTGTACGTGTCAGTCAGGTGAAGCTCCACCCGTCTCTCACGTCAGGAGGGAGTGTTTGGGGAACACATCGTCCACCAGAGCCGCCACCGTGATGCACAGCTTCCCCAGGCCTTTCTCCTCCAGGATGTGGTGAGGAAGACACAGTTTGTCCTGGGAGGCCAGAGTCAGAGGGATGGAGGACAAAGAGGAGTGTAGATGTGGAGGCAGAGAAGAGACACAAAGGATTTAGACACAAAAAGCAACACAAATTCTGGCAAAAACACGAACTAAACTTTTCTACTGAGTTTGGCACATACCTCCAGGAGATAGCCATAGCCCACACTCCGAGTCTAACACTGCCAAAGAGTTACTCATCTTATCCTGCATACTTTTATATACTAAATGCCATTTTGTGTTTATTTACAGGAAAAATAACACTTCTACTATTAAGTATGAATTAAGTTTTATGTTTAGGTCACGTGACAACCCGGAGGTCATTTTGTCACACGTAAAATAAGCTGAAAATGTTGAAATGTTTAAACTTAAAGTAGGTGCACAGCTCTGGACTAGGTTGTAAAACCAAAGATTAATATAAGATATATTTTATTTTACAAGCCTGTGTCCAAAGGTAAACAAACAAATACATCTGTCCACCAGAAGCTCTAAAGTTCACTAATTAACATGTTCTATCTTGTTTGTTCGATCTGTCACGTGTAGTTGTCCTTTGAAGGCGTCGTGTGTCAGACTACCTCGCCACCTCTATCTTAAACAATGACTCCGTCGAACAGACAACACCCCTAAACTGCATTTATTACCTCAGTCTTTAACAGTCAAACATCGTACATCAGTCATAAAATCCATTCACATCAGCACAAAGTAAAAAAAGAAGCCAAAAAAAACAAACAAAAACAGCAGCAACTGCCATAATTAATTCACAGAATATGAAATATAATAACATAAAGTAATAATTCATAAGTAAGTGGTTTATGTCAACTATTCAGTGTGTGATAAATATAAGGCATTTCCTGTTTGTGTAACATCACAGATTGAACTACCAGTGAAGACGTCTGCATTCATTCAGTTTCTGTGAATTAATCAAACAGCCAATCAGCTGCTCACATGGTCAGGACATATTCTGTTTTCTATTAAGTTGCAGTGTGGGCGCCAGCAACAGTTTTTAATTCCTCTAAACATTACAAACAGGGTGATAATCTACTCCTCCACGTGTCAAACCCTCCAAGATAAACTGCTTAATAACATTAATATATATATATCTTCATGAACTCATCTAGTGTCTAAAGCCCTTCAAATGTTTCCACAAACAGTCACATTGCATATCAGGATACAGAGGAGTTCAGAGAGCAGGACAGAGATAAATAAATAGATGCATTAAAGTTCACATTTCTCTTAAGTTTCAAAACATCATACTGAAATATTGTGTTTAAATAACGATTCACATTCAAATTAAGACCCCAAAGAACAACTAACCGATTCAAATAATCATTAATATAATATGGCTTCCGTTTGCTCCTCAACACTTAATAATCACAACTTAGAACAGACCATGTGCTCTTTGTGTTGCTCTATACTCGTGAGCCTCTGAACCATTCAGGAATCATGTGCTTATTCTGCAGTCCAGCTACTCTGAAACACGGGAACAACTAGCAAAGTTCAAGGCATCGCCCCTCAGACACTCATTTTAAATGTGCAGGAGATCCTCTTCTACTCAAAGTTGAACAAGTGTTGATGGAGGCGTCGCCCTCATCCTGCACACAAAACAGACGGGCTTTAGCGGTTCCATTTGGCGGCCATATTGGAGGTCTTCCTCTCTTCTATAGTGGGTAGTCTCAGAATAATTTGGTGGACATGTTTTATTTCTGATCTAAAGACTGCTGATCCACCTGTCATCTTTAGCTTGTGAGAGCTATATATCGGTGCATTACTGTGGCCGAGTAGTGCTACCAAACATCTGGCTAACTAGCAGATGTTTGGTTAGCTCAGCAGCTACAGTACAGTAGTTACATCACAAAACCTCCTTAAACACTGAGAGAGCTGAGAGAACTTTGCTGTGCTTTCTGGTCCGACTAGTGACATGTTGTTCAAAAATATCTTTGTAAAATGTTTCGGTACTATGAAGCTATGGTAAACAAATGAAGGCAATTCATCAGTTTTTTCGATTTTAAGAAACCAGTGTTTGCTGATCTTTATAGATGCAGAATGTGGTTTTTACTTGAATATATGGTGCATGTAAACATAGCTACTGTCCCCGTAATCTTTTATGTAATATCAGCTTATAAGACCATTTCTTTTCATTTAGAGAAGAGCTTCATGAATCAACAGCCAGGTGCTGTATCTGTGTGTATATATTAGGGGATGTCTCTGATTAAGAATTCATATAATCAAATCCGTGTGTGCTGTTCGTGGTACTAACACGGAGCTTTTGGTGCTTGTTAATAGAACTTTTAGTCCTAATTCCATTTTCCACCATTTTAGCAATCCACAAGCAGAATGGAAGGGAGAGCGAGACACAAAACGCATACAGCTGATGTAACGAATCCTTCATAAATCCCAAATACTTCCAGCGCTCTGTAGTGGTTTGTTCTCATGCGAGTGATCTGATTACTACATGTAGGAATGTTGAGTCAGGCTTCTTAGATCGAATCATTGACTATTCAGTCATCCCTAATGTATGCATGTACGTATACACATACACACACACACACACACACGTACGTACATACATACATACATACGTATACACACACACACACACACACACACACACACACACACACACACACACACACACACACACACACGTACGTACATACATACATACATACGTATACACACACACACACACGACCATTTGTCCACTAGACCTCCATGATGGTGCCAAATGGCTGCTGTGAGACGTGGGTCCACCACACTACGCACAGTATTTATCTATAAATACATATCAAATCTGAACATGACCAGTGAATTTATTTTGTCACGAAAGAGAGGTCAATACTGGCCCAATGTTTCATTTTGTTATTGGTCTACTAACATGGTGTTTATATCCTTAATGGATAAGATAAAGAGTTTTCATGGCTCCACCTAAACCCTCTCAGTCCTGCACAGATCAGAGTATCTCTGCTGTAGGGACGTCAGTGACTTTAAGCAACCTGCTGGTCCACATGTCCTGCCTCTGTTAGAAGTTTCGGGTTAATTTATTGCAAAGACACAAAAAATGTAAAACAAGTAAAACCAAACAAAAAAAATCAACGAAGGAGTAGCTGACGCTGCATTCATATCACATGGGATGAAAAGATGATATACATTTTAGTAATCCCATATGGGATCAGAGTCACCAGAAACACTTGTATGGGTACCTGTGTGTAGCTCGGCTGGTATCGCCAGTATATAAACAATACAGCACAGCATCGGCACTGTCAAGTTCAGAGCCACAGTTCTCACAAAGTAACAAAACAAAAGCTCCTCAAAACCTATAAACAACAGTATTAAAGTTGTACTTTACAACTCACAGATAAAATCATCCCTCTCAGTGTGACATTTAAAATGGAATCTGATTATAATCTTGCAGAAATCGTTCTCCACGCCTTCATAAATCAGCTTTGCACCGACAGTATTTTTTTTCCTTACTGCAATAGTCATTCCGCTCACAAACATTTTAAAACAAACAGCTTTTGCTCTTTTGAGCCAGATGTTTTGAGGGAAATCTGACACAACTATTGAGAAAGATAAGTATTGTATTCTATCTGAGGAGAGTTTACTGCTCCACACTTTGTTTGGGTGTAGTAGCTGTATAATGCTCACATTACAACACTAACGAACAGATAAAGTTGATTTATTTCTAGTTTATTTTGGAGCATGATGTTTCCCACGTGACATGAATGCAGCAAAAAAATAAATAAAAATAAAGGAGTCATAGCCTGGGCAGAAAAAGGGGCGGGTGCTGTCAGGTGACTGACAGGAGGCTGTTGCCGCGGTTACGTTAGCTCGCTCCAACTATAGGCCACGAACAGCAGAACTAGACAGAGGACGTGAAGCAGGCTCGAGCCAATAAGGTCCCAGATTTGCCAGGCGGGAGGCGGGGTTTGAGTGGTAACAGAAACCAATGAGGGAGTCTCTGACACCCCGGAGGAGGCGGGGTTTGGAGTTGAGATTGCCGCTTCCCGTTTCCTGTTTGGAGAGGTTGAATCCAAGGCAACCAGCGTCTGAACTGTGGCGCAAACCGGCTGCAGGCGGCACTGGGTGATGTCATAGGGTGAACAGAGGGAAGACTAGCGCCCCGTTAAAATAAATGTAGGGAAGGGAAGGAGGGAGGGAAAAGGGCAGAAGGTGGGAATGAAACAAAGGTCGGTGGGAAGAAAGGAAACAAGGGAGGAGGAAAGGGAAAGAGCCAGAGAATGAGAAAGAGGAAGAGATAGAGGTGGAAACAAGGGAATAAGAGATGAAGGAGGAAACAAGTGGAGTAGTAAGACGTAAGTAGGAGGGAAGAAAGTAGGAGGTAAAGAAAAGTTTAAATAAAAGTTACAGCAAGGGAGAGGAGGTGAAATGTTTACAAACAAATGAAGGGTGAGGAGGAAAAAAAGAAGAGACGTGTCAGATATTCTCCAAGGAAGAACCAAAAACCAGGTGGAGGAAGAGGAGGAAGGATGGAGGAGATTAGAGGTGAAGAAGAACCAGAAGATGTAAAAAATGTAAAAATGATGGAGAGAAGGAAACCATAGAGAAGGAAGCAATTAAGGGAGCAAAGAGGGAAAAAGAGAAGAATGTGATGAAGAGGACGGGTAAGAGAGAGACCATTAAATCAAAAGTTCAGAGGAAAAAAGTTATGTTAAAAACAAAGTATGCAACAAAGAGGAGGGAGGAAGAGGAGGACGTGGTGCGATCCAGCCGGAAAGTAAAAAAGAGAAAGAAAAGGCAGGAGGTTAACACAGAGGTCAAAGGTCACAGACGAGAGTGAGAGCTGGTGGGGGGAGGCGGGAGCAGGCAGGGGTCACCATGACAAAGAGCAGGGATGCTTACTGAGAGGATGGAGGACAGGTTTGACCTCCTCTCTCGCCCAGTAAGCAGACCGTGATGAGGAGTGGGTAGAGTGGCTGATGGGAGAGCCGGTGCAGCAGGCCAGCACAGAAGCTATTATTAGCACGTTAGCACAGAAGCTATTATTAGCACGTTAGCTCGGAGAAGCTCTTAGCAAGTCAGCTAGTTTGCAAACGTCCACACAGAGGCAGCAGACAGTCAGCAAGCAGCAGCAGCAGAGATGGAGGCCAACGGTCAACGAGTCGGTTCAGATCAACAGCTCAGAAAAAGGATGAAATGTTTAAAATAATCCTCCTTTCTCTCAAAGGGAAGCCCGAGACTAATCTTTAGTAAATGTGAAGACAAAAACAATTAAACAAAGGTAATGAATTAACATGGTTTTAAAGATGAAACATAAACGTACAAACAAATATAATTCAATAATCACATTTAAAGCGACAAAACAACCAAACGATCCTGACTGAAATACTTTCGTAGAATTGTAAGTCCCTAATAATGTGATAGAAAACGTCAACCATTCCTTCACAAAATTATATTAATATTTTTATGGCCCCGACAGCCAGCATAATTAAAATGTCCGTCCTTTACCAATACAACTGTATTTCCTCTCTTTAACTGGCCCCCTGTTGGCTGTAACTCTAACAGCTACTGTACCTGTAAATTATGTACTTTTATATTTGAAATACACACTGTACACACTGACTGTACTTTATATACCGTCACATTCAACCACCTAATGCACATGAAGCAACTTACATTAATCATCCTGTATTTATTCCAGCACCCTTTGCACTCTGCACCATTGCACTGCTGTATTACTGTTTATAAATATATTGTGTTTTTATATGTAGAAACACTTTTTTATTTATATATTCTGTAAATAAATTGATTCCACCTCCCTGCTCACTCGGACTCAACGGGAAATATTTCACTGTAAAGAAGCTGGAAGCTCTCTATGATTGTTGTTTTAACTGTGACTGAAATAAACACACACTGTACTTATATTACCCATGATGCACCTGTATGTATATTTAGAGCACTTTTTTCAAATGACTCCTACTGTTGCAGATTTAACGGAATAGTTTGACATTTTGGAAAATGCGTTATTTGTCTTGACTAGAGTTAGACTGATACTGTACATGTCTGTATGCTAAATAGTTTAGCTTAGCATAAAGAATGGAAACGGGGGAAAAAGCTAGCCTGACACTTTGGTGTAGAGAAGACATATTGTGTTAATCAGTTAGTTTTGGAGGCGCTGGTGGGTGGACCTGCTAGCTGTTTCCCCTCGTTTCCAGTCTTTATGCTAAGCTAGGGCAAAACTTAAAGACTGGCTGCTGCTCTAACTTTGTATTTAGCATACAACTCTCGGCCAAAAAGCGATTGAGTGAATTTCCCAAAATGACTATGCTGTGGCGGAATTTCCATAATCCTAATCCTAACCACTGAGCAAAAAAATCAGCTTTCTCCAAATTAGGGACACAGCTTTTGCCCCACTTTCACAAGCCGTCCCCAATTTACTGGTCTTTAGTCTGAAATGTGTCCCCGAAGGTATCCTAAACCAGAACACCCCCCTCTCACTCACACACACACACACACACACACACACACACACACACACACACACACACACACACACACACACACACACACACACACACACACACACACACACACACACACAGAGACACACTGTTTGAAACCGATGCTGCTGTTTCGATCGACTGCTGTCATGATGAGGAAGCTGGAAGCCACAGGCAGCGATGACAGCAATGATGATTCAGCGTTAAAGGTCGACATCAACAACCGCATTTAAAAGAGATGAGAACAAAAAGGAGGCAGGTAGGAACATTAAACCAGTCACGGGAGAACGCTGAGTGGTTCTCATGTTTGGGTAGTAGAAGACGTTTACTAAATTGTTTCATTCGGAAGTTCTCAAATTAATTTCTATTTTTTTAATTAATTTTACATTAAGTCTTCTGATCAGGTGACCAAAACGTCTGCTGTTAGAAACATGGAATCATCAGCCTTCCTCCCCGATCTGGTTTACAGTTTAGTGTCGTCATCAGTGTCCTGCAATAATCCTCAATTTTAGTTTCCCCTCACTTACCAACATAAATCACAAGATAATATAGCTGCATTGTAATTACTACTATTACTACTTGTTCCCCCTCAGACCCAGACAATGTTCAAGAGACTGATGAGACTCCATTTGATCAATAATCAATCGACTGAAGCCAAAACAGGTTGATGACGAAGTGCAACTGTTGGATTACGGGGAAGTTTCTCTGATGAACTGGGGGTGTTTTCAGGTCTGCGGTTGCTGGATCAAATCCCAGGACTGTTTTCAGCCCAGTTTGTTTATAAATGATAACTTTCCACTGGTCAATAAACTGGACAATAAACCACAAACTGGGTTCAGACCAGTGTGTAACGAAGGATCAGTTGCATTGATTCATCAGTTATAAACTCTGCTGCTCCAATGCATCAATCCTCTACAACAGGGGCTTTCAAAGGCCGACACCGCAAACTACACTAGCGAACTTCCTGTTGTTTCTAGAACCTTCATGCACTTGTCTCATTCGTCCCCATCAAACTGTCCTAATTATTTTGGAAAAGCTGAAACTGTTGCAGTCACTGTGTGGTCAAAACCATCTGCAATAACACCATCAAACACGTTGTAATAGAAGATCAATCTGAGATGAGCAGTGACTTGAAAACGACCCCCAGTTCAGAGAGGCGGCGTACTGTAGTCGGTGTAGTTATTGTATAAATGTCTTACCTCTGACAGACCAATCTTTCTGCAGGCATCCAGGAAGTTCTCCACATTTCTCCGACACTTGGCCATGCTGAGTTTGGGCTGGAAATACATTTGGATAAAAGTTTAAGTCAGAAATAAAAAAAAAAAACAGAAGATCAAGACAGATTTTACGCTCTTAGGTTCCAGAGTATCATGAATATTCATCCCAGGGGTCAAAGGTCAGGACTTAGACGCACCACTGCAGGCGAGGGGACGTGGATGCTGCCGACAGAGCGCGGGCGAATGTGATTGGCCAGATGGCAGAGCACGACGCCGTCCATCAGAGACGATCCAAGGTCTTCAGGGAGGACAACCTTCAGTCTGCTCTCGATGCTCTGAAGGAGGAAAACAACAATACAAGCAGGTATGTGAGGGGTTAAAAACCTAAAGGACTGCTGGGTCCCTCCTAGTTATCATCAATGAATGTTGTTCATTGCTTTGTAGTAACAGGACATGCACTGATGCACATTAAGAGAATATGTGATCATATGATGTGTTTAATAGTCTGAATACTGACATTGAGTGCACTTAGTAGTAGAAGAAGTAGTAGTCAGTGGTGGAGAATACCCAAGTATGTTTACTTAAGCACTGTACTTAAGTAAAATTTTGAGGTATTTGTACTCAAGTACTTTATTTCCATTTCATGCAACTTTAAGATATATTTTGATTCTTATACTTTTACCGACGTAAAGTTTTGAATGCAGGACTTTTACTTGTAACAGAGTATTCTTACACGGTAGTACTGCTACTAGAGGTACTAGAGTACTTCTTCTACCACTGTTAGTAGTGAAAACACTACAGCCAAAAAAAACTAGTAAACGTTAATGTGTAGTATAAAATTGGGACACAGTCAATGTTTACAATTGACAGATTGTGTAATCATTTCTGATATTTCCCTTTAAAATAGTGGGAATGTTGTGAATAAATTGTTTTCATAACTGATTGCGCTGGTGGACAGAGCTACAGAATCACCCTTTAATCACACACTAATGATTAATAAACAGTGAGGAGAATGTGTCTCACGTCTCGCAGTATCTCCGTGAGCTCCAGCTCCTCTCGCAGCTGCTCCATCTTTCTTCTCATGGTGAACTGAGGATCAACAGACTCCAGACTCTTGTGGCTCCGCAGGAACACTGAAACAAACACAAGAGGAGGAAGACGGGCCGCGTTAGTCGGACACAACAGCAACGAAGGACACACTTAAACAGTAACACGGCCATCTCTGAAACATACACAATGGATCGGCCGGGAACAGATCTCTGGCTTCTGAGGAGGGAAAAAAATGATGCATTATACATTATTATCTGCATTATACAGAGAGGTGTCTTTATTACTGGGCCGACCTTTACTGATATAAATGAGTGAGAAGAGCTTCAGTTGCATAAGCCGTGGACTCGCGTACAGTAAGTGACTTCCTGTGCATCCACATCTGCACTCAGTGACACAGAAAAAGCCTTTCTGCCATAAAAGATGTAGGAAGCTTACGTAAGCTCAACATTCACATGCACTCATGCAGCTCAGTGCACTTTTAGCTCCGGCTTTGTCACAGGAGCGGTCATGTGGAGGGAGTTCATCTCTCTGAGCGAACAGCCTGCAGAGCAACACACTGGAAACTGACTGACTGACTGACCTGTGTGTAGAGACATTTTTCTTTTGATTATAGCATCTGTCAAATGATTCTGATGGCAGAAGTTTCTGTTCATAGATAAACCTGATGCTTGAACACCAGCTCCTAAAACTCCCCTGGTGGTGGATGATGTCTCCGTACATTACATTAGTAAAAGTACAAACACACAGTGTAAAAATGCTCAACCATGAGTAAAAGTATCCTCAGCAAAATGTATTTGAAGTCGGCTTCACGAAACATAATATTTTACTGATGCTCAGTGTAGTGCAGTATTAAGTACAATAAGCTAAGCTAACCAGCTTCTGGCTGTAGCTACATCATTTACTGTGCAGAGATGAGAGTGGTATCAATCCAAAAAACAACTCTCAGAGAGAAAGTGAATTTCCCAAAATATCAAAAAAGACTTGTTTTGCTTGTAAAAGTAATACGGTAAGAATCAGAACATGGGTTAGTAAGTAGCATCAGATTCAGTGACATATAAATGAAAACCAGGCTCATAGAGAGGAGTGTGTAGGAGTGTGAGAAACATGCATGGCCTCTTCACACACACATCATTCACCTCCTCATGTCCTACACATAAATCTACCCTTTACAGCCAAATGCAGCTGAACACAGCTTGTATCTGTGTAGTTCCACTGAGTGACCACCAAGAGGAGCTACATGAGCTGTTTACTCCAGCTTCATCTCTTGTTGTGAAGAGCAGAAGACATGAAGTCTGCAGGATTTTAATGTGTTTTTAACGCCACGAGCCTGTTCAGCTAACAATCCTCACAGCCCTGTAGCTGAACTAAGCACTTAACTAAACTACAGACGTCTTACCATAAAAATGTACACTCTGGAGAGGATCTAAAGCCAGCAAATATTCAATATTTCCTCAAGAAAAAAAGTTGTTTAATCTCATTCATTAATTCATAAATCTTAATGTCCTTCTAGTCATTATTAATCAACAACGTAAAATGGTCTTGAGAGCTGTGAACCTCTTGAACATTAGAACACGGGGGGGAGAGAGAGAGACAGTGAAGGGCAAATACTTTTATCTCTCTAGTTGTAACTTAGGTCAAGTCATTTTACAAGCTGCTGAACTCCTCTTCCTCCTCCTCTTCATATTGTCTTACTCCTCCCCGCTCTAAATGTCTCTCTCTGCCAGCACAACAGTTTGAGGCTGCAGCATCTTGTTTCTGTGTCTCCTCCTCTGACGGGTTATTAAAAGATTTTGGAGGATATTTTTAAAACCCTGCATGAAGGCGTGCGGGTATTGTTGTTGTCTATTTCACAAATTATTCCTAGCTCGCTGAAAAGTAGGAACCTGCTTCTTTTTACAAGATCAGTCAGAAAGTAGTAAAATAAAAAGACACGTCCTCCCTCTGGTCTGGCGTTGATCACCCTGCAGTTTGTTGAAGAGAAACTGCACACAGGCAAATAATCTTTCTTGTGCTTCTAACTAGTGGTGACATGTGGTGTGGATGTTCTTTCCACACATTCACAGGACACCACAGTGCAACGCTACATCACACAAAAGTACAACCAACCACTCCTGCCCACACCAAGCTGCTCGGATGCCTCTGACTGGCTTCGTCTCTATAGCAATACCACCGAGACTCATGGGTATCATCGTATTTAGAGCCATCCGACAGACACAAGACTAGAGGCACAGCTGTGCTTTGAGCTAAATGCTAACATCAGTAACCTACAGATGGACAACATGGCAGCTGCCTACAATAGAAGCCACAATGTCTTGATCGCCCCCTTGTGGCTGGCTTTATATACAGTCCATGGTTCATACAGTCACTGACCGTGTCGCTAGGTAGCTTTGCAACATTTCCACCGACTTAGTGAAGTTAGCAAGCACTGCTGGCCGGTCGATGATGTTTCTGACACAAAAAGACACAAGTCTGTGTAATAGAACATAAGACTATTTGATCACAAATATATTAATAGATCTCTTATGTTTGTGTCTGTCTAGCCAAGCAGCTACTGTGGTGCTAACGTAGCTGCTAGGTGGCTCTCATGCGCACAGGCTGCTAGGCCTGTAGCCTTAGAAACACTGCAGCGGGTGTTTTGTGTGCCGATAGCACAAATAAAATAATTAAATAAAATACTCAAAGCTGTAGCTGAGGGGATACTTAACAGTAAAACACCAGATAAGATCCGAGCAGTGATTTAATCTCATATTTTAAAAAGCTTTATAACAGTAAGGTAACAACCTGCTTCACATTCACACTGTTTTCAGTTTCTGCTGTTGTTTGGAGCGACTGAGGGTAAACACAGATTTTCTGACCTGGCCTGCTGGTGTGTTTTTTCCCCTCGTTTCTACACTTACTGTACTTATTTAGGCTTTTCTTTTAATTTGCTACTTTTCTGTACTTTATTGCATTAAATTAAGACTCAATGAATGGCAATTACATTAATCAGCATCTCATTCCACCAGCTATTGGATTAAAAACATATAATATTTGTATGACATATTTCTCTAATCTTCCTAAAATCAACTCATGACTTCCTGTTAAATAGAGCCGGTTTAAAGGACTGGCCACCACCAGATTAACTGATAAACTACCGTTACTGTAACACACACGCATACGCAGGGTGATGATTGGTTGTTAATGAGGTCAGCAGCAGTGATGATGCGAGCGTGTATGTCACGCTCCCTGAGGCCTGAACCCATTATAGACCATTAGACATAATGTTATCACACTGAAACATAACTGCTCATGTAGAAACACACAACGCTTCAGAGGGAGACTGTCTCTGTACAACACTGTTCTTATCTTATTCTGTTCTTATCACCGCAACAGCGAGATCATCTGAAAGAAAGACCGATATATACATATTGTTACTGTTGCAACACAAACTAAGAGTTTACAGCCACACTAGCAGCCCCGTGAGACTGCAATGCTCATTAAATACCAGAAATAAAGAATGGTCCCGAGTGTAGCGCGAGAGGGGAGGCCATATTGTCAACTAAATCTTAAGTTTTAATCTTCTGTTCGGAGGCCATTAAAGATAATTAAGATACAGATCTCAGCGTGTATCATCAAAATATTAGCATGCTTAAATTAGCGTGAGCCTAATTATTAGCAATCTGATGTTAGTTTGTCCGGATGCTCATGTTTAGCATAGCAATGATAATCAGCATGTGGGTTATGTTACATTTTTTTTCAAGTTAATCAATGGTAAGATATGGGTCAAAGAAGCCGTTACGATGGGCTCCGTGCTAACATTTTAGCATACACTTCAATGGTCCAGTCAGCTTTTATAACAGCAAAAAGATATAAGTAAATCACTTTATTTCAATGGAGCCACTGCAATCAGTGGAGAAGCTTACAGGACCAAAGTAAATCCACACAGATCTTTTGATTTGAGTTCAACTCTGGTGACATTTGACAGGTGAATTTGTGCATTTAGTTTTATTGAACCTACCCTGTGGGAGTATTAACTGGGAGGAACAGTTTAAAGCTATGAGATAGCAGTTGATGGTGCAACTAACTCTTTGTCGGGTTACCGAGCTAGCTACCCAAATAGCTTGATGAGCTATTGCTTCTAGGATATGCTAATGCATGTTATTGGTTGGCTCACCAGCTACAGTAGTTTAATGTTAGTATATTAGCATGAACTGCTGTGTTTGAATCAGATGTGAGCAGTAAGCCTGCCATCGGAGGTTGGCCCGACATGAAAATTAAACCCAGATGTAACATGTTGTGGTTGGAAAGTAAACTGAAAGACTCCCTAAGGGCTCGTGATAGATTTGTTAACATTCAGAAGAGTGTGTGAACACTTTAACAGCTAACAATCGCTGCTACTTCCTGCAAGATATCAGAGCCTTTTATGGACCAACTGACTGAAACACAGCTCGCCTCGGGGAGGGGACACACACACACACACACACACACACACACACACACACACACACACACACACACACACACACACACACACACACACACACACACACACACACGGCTGTGATCTATCTAAAATCTTGGACTCCGTTCCAGTGGAAGTAGGATACTCCTTTAGGGACAATTATCTAACACTTAAAATATAGGAGCTAAAAATACACACACATACACACAAATGTGCACAGACGAAACCCAGACTCATTCAAATTGCAGACGCTTCACACACACACATTTGAAGAGACATCAAACAATTCTAATATAGCTTTTGTTTATAGCTCACACAGGATGCACCGCACAGACGGAAAAAGTAACAGACGTGTGATGAAACTGCTGCTTTTCTGCAACTTTGACATGTGCCAATGGTGAGCAATAAAACAACAGAAGTGGCAACATACATAAGATTGCCACTGGTGTGTGTTGTTGTATAAAACAAAACAAAAGTTTACCAAAAAAAACATAATTTTTAAGATGCAAGTCAAATTGTATTTACTTTAACATATACAAGTTGGCTTTTCTATTTTTACAGTGTTGGGTTTAGATAATTTCAGACACACACACACACACCCTGTGTTTGCTCCTCTCCAGAAACTTTATGCTCACACATTCTGGTAAGCTTCAAAGCCTGTGTGTGTGACCACACTTTTGTAGTAATTGACACACACACACTGAATAGAACTTTTACCATGTGCGTCTACAGCAACCACCCACACACACACATCTATATGAACAGCTGGAGATGAAAGTTGCATGTGGTAAAGCTCCTCTTTGATCAGTGTCTGCTGCTACCACACACACACACACACACACACACACACACACCCCAACCTATGGTCTAAGGCAGAGAAAACACACACTGGTAGTCGACTCCAAATGAAAACGAACTTATCGCGATGTCAGTCCTTGCCAGAGGGAGGCGCTGCTGAGACACCATAGTAAGAGACACAAACACACAACCAATCATTGTTAAGACGCTGTACGCTTTCTATGTCTCTATAGGAAGATTATTGTAATATTATATAGGAGTTAAAATGATAAAGCCACTAAAATCATATAACTATAAAAGAAATGTCCTCCTTGTTTCTTCCTGTTTCCAGTCTTTATGCTAAGCTAAGCTAACTGTACACTACCTAATCATTGCTTCAACTGGCCGCTGAAACAGTTCGTGAAAGAAAAAACAAACACAGCCGGTGGCTAACTTTCCACCTGATGGTCCAGGACACAAAGAAATTAGGGATAAACACTGAAAAAAATCCCAAACCGTTGGTGGAGAAGTTTGAAAGAGAGGCTGTCAGCGAACACCTGAGTCCAGGTGTGTGATCTGACTCTGCAGCCTCCGAGGCTGCTTAGTTAAAAGAAGTGGAAACCTACCGCGGCTGTGCATGCCTCCGTCATCATGGCTACGAGGCGTGTCTCTATGGCAGGGCGAGGCCTGTGAGAGGAGGGAGGGGGCGAGACAGGAAGGAGGTGGCGAGCAGGGCAGCGAGGGCGGAGCTACAACCAGGAAGTGTGAGTGGTCAGGGAGACGCAAGAAGTCGGCGTGGAGCGTGTAGTGCAGGGAAGTGGGGCACCAATGGTGAATCAAGTACAGCAAGGCAAAGGTCATTCCACGAAAACACACCCCAAAAAACACCAATATCACCAGGATAGAAGTCCCGAAATAGTGGTTGTTAAGGGAAAAAAAAGATCAATGGTATTTAAACAAGTAACAGACATGCATGCAGATTAGATCAGATGATTTTCACATTAAAAGTCATGCAGCAGATCAGTGGAGGGAGAAATGAACAAACATGTAAATCAGAAAAAGAAAATATCAAAGGGGAGAGATGAAAACACGTAACACAAAACAGCACAAAAACAAAATAAATATTAGTGGCAGTTCACATAGAGATCACCTTGACATGCTGTTAGCATCTTGTTAGCTTCATTAGCAGTTAGCAACATTTCACACACTGGTAACAGCTAGCAAACAAAGGCTGGATGGCTGCTAGCTCTAACAAATAAAACAAATAAAGCATGGGACTGAAGTTTGCTATGATTCTACAGACACAGCAGACAAGTATTAGTATTCCCTGTAAGCCTGCACCAACTCTGGGTTAGCTTGTGTTCAAACTAGCCCTGATTCAGGATGGTCTCCTTCATATCATGGTCCGGGATTGTCAAGGAAGCAGACTTTTCAGATGCCTCATTAAAAGTGCTAAAAAATGCAAATACCCTGGCTGGTAGAGAATCTTGAAAAATGACAACAGTCCAGAGGTGGAGAGTAACCAAGTACATTTACAGAGTACTGTACTTAAGTGCAATTCTGAGGTACTTATACTTCACTTGCATATTTCCATTTTCTGTTGCTTTCTACTCCACTACATCTCAGAGGCAAATATTGCACTTTTTACTGCACAACATTTAATTAATAACTTTAGTTACTTCACTGATTCAAATTAATAGCCCAAAATAAAAACAGATAAATAATGATATTTTATTTAAAACTTTACTGACCCCTGTAATTAGCTACACCTTTACCAGCTTCAACATTTAAGTGAAGAACACATTAATGCATAAATAATTATAATCCAGTAATGAGTGCAGGACACTGGCATTACTACTTTTACTTAAGTAAAATATCTGAGCACTTCTTTCACCACTGTGTCAATGTCAAGGCAGGTGTTCAGCGACAAAAATATGGTTTATTCTGAGCTCCTGAAAACTTCAAATAAAGAAAAAACTACAAACTGTGTATGAATATAGTTCTTGGTCTTTGCAATGTCCAGGATTTTCATTGTCATCAACGCAGCCAACAAATGAAGTACACCTCATCAGCATGGAACTGTTTTCACAACCACACTGTTCAGAGCCAGTGAATCCACCTCTAAGTCTGGTAGCCCAGGTATCTGGTCCACCCTCTTAGCCCAGATCCAACTCACCTGAACGGGGCTTCAGTCCAAACACCGGGCTGGAGAAGGCTGGAGGTCCGCTGGCTGGAGATATGTCATGTCGCTGCAGCAACAGAAATGGAAAGAACACGGATAAGTACTCGGTGTCATTAACAAACAATGGAAGCATAATTCATTGAACAGATGCTGGAGTCCTGTGCTTCGTGTGGGAGATGTTTGCAAAGACATACAGACTTACAAACGACTCCACGGAGATATAAAGTACAGAGAAACACATGTGAGGAGCTCAGGGACCCAAAGTTAACCTCCAAATTGGCTCAAAGACAGCAGCACTCTTTGCCTCCCTCCTCTGTCTTTAACCATCATTCAACTTATATAACCAGCAGACTGATTCAGTGTCAGCACTCTTTAAGACACTCGAGACGTCTTCAATTTAACAGAATTTAAGTGGATTAGATTTGTATAAAGACAGTCTGATCAAAGTCAATTTAAAAATGACTGGAAAATTCTCACATCTCACCCCCATTTGCACCTTGTAGTAACATTTGATCTGTAACTGTGTTTCTTATCTGGATCAGGAAAAAGAGCTTTGTGACACCTGAGTTCATATAGATTGCTGGTGAACACACTCATCTCACTCTGTGGTAGAGGCATCAGTTATTAATGCAATCTGTAGAGTTTATTCACATCTGCCCAACAAGTTTAAGAGTCACCAAACTCAAGCTGTCAGGCTTAAGAATAAGTAAGAACTATTACACCAGCATCACTTCCATCGACCCGTTGACTAATCCGGCCGCTCCGCCTACCTCATTAGCATATTAAGACTAATCACAGCGCATGTCAAATCGAGATAACACGAATGCTTATAAACCGCAGGTGGAAATGCTAAGGCCCGTGATAATGAATCCAGATACAGATCAGAGGTTCATACCGGGTTCAGATGGGGGGGGGGGGGGGGGGGGGAAGCTGTCAGGCATAAAAAAAAGTAAGAAAAAGAAAAAAAAAAAAAGAAGAAGTAAA